TCCCCACCTAACTTTTCTTACATAGATACAGACTGAAACTATTATTCAGCTTCCCAACAATATAAAAAGACCAATGCTTCCATTTATGCATCTACTTTTATAATGCCAATTACTAACAAGAAGAACAAGGATAAGTTTATGTAAAATAGTAGAAGGTAGCACTTCTACGGTGTCTTACATTTCTTTGTCACACATTATGCTTTATTTTCTGTCTTTTCTTACATTTTCTTACTTAGTGTGAACAATATTTTCATTCTTTATCATTTACCCTGAGGCAGGTCTCACTCTGCTTTCCTATAGATAGTTTTTCTAAGGTGTTATCAGTAAATAATACTTATAAATTGCTTTAAACAGCTTAAGGGCTTCCATTTAGAAATGTTTAAATAATTCAAGGTTAATAAGATTCATCGTACTCACAAAGAGTATCTTGTTGTGGACAAAGCTAATTGCTAAATTTTATTCAGCCCTAAATGACACCAGTAGCAAATCAGCTCACAGCTTAATACTACTGGCAGTCCTAAATGAAAAAGAAATAACATTACTCAGATCCAGGTTTTTTAAAATACATGTTATGATTCACTTCCATTAGTTCGGACATTGATGCTCAGATACTGGATATTGGATTCTCTTTCAAACAAAACAAAACAAAAAAGAAGCTGAGAAACAAAGTTGCAGATATTTTTAAATGTCATGGTAAAAAGTCACAGTGAAATATATTTTATCCTTGTTTCAGTGGATGCTTCTAATTCTCATTTGAAAGATACAATATATTCCTATCAGAAAGATTTTCTCTTGGCAAAGTTTAGAATTCTGAAAATAGTCTTTTAATAAAACAGTACCCACACCCTCCTAAGCTGTAGAACCAAAGTAACAGCACTATGATGTATTATTCCCTTATGGTAACACACCCTGTTGAAACTGAACTGTAATTTGGCACAGGACATTTCTATACTAATGTAATGTGACAATGTTATTATGTTCACTCTTTTCCATGTGATCATAGCCATATACGTCTTCTCCAACCTGACGTTAAATTAGCTAATATGTCTACATTCTATTCTGGACACTGGGTAAAAGCAGAAAAGGATTACTGTGTAGCACACTGGTGTGATGATGGTGGATGAATATGTAAGCATTAATAGGTGATATACAAAATTTATAATGAATGTAAACTTTTAGCACAGACCTGGAACATAGTAAGTGCTCAATCAATGGTTACATTCAAGAGAAATTTCATAAATAGCTACAACATACACTGTAGCACAGCACACTGTTCCTTACAATTTCAAAAGAGGAAAAAATAATGTCAATCTCAGAGAACAAAGGAAGTTTCCATGGAACAACACAGTTTAAGTAGAGATTGGAAAGGAAATTGCATTTCTTCAAGCAGACACAGTGAAAAGGATGCATTCCAGGTGGAATGAATGCATTTTCCAGGTGGAGAAATTAGCATAAGCAATGGTGAGGAAATTGGAAAGTGTAATGTTGCTCAGAAAGCTGTGAGTAAGTAAATTGGTGATAATATGCCATATGGACAAGGTTCTGCAATAGATAGGTATGAACATGAAGGTTAGGGTCAGATCATCGAGGTCCATGAATTCCACATGAAGAACTTGGAAAGTAGTATTGGACGCTGAGGATATACTTTAAATTCTTGTGCAAGATTCATGCATCTAGCAAGCTTTGATTTAGTGAGTTATTACAATTACCATGCTATAAAATACCACTGGGCTTATAAACGAAGAAAACAAAGAATATTGTTCCCAGGAGAGGCATACAGTCTTATAGGGAGATAAGAGTAAACATAAGTAACTATAAGGAGAAAGTGATGGCCATTTAAATAGTATAAACCAAATTCTATAGGAAGCCAGAGGAGAAAAAATATTGTCTCTGGATAAGAGCATTTGGAGAGACTGATGACATTTAAACCAGGATGAATAGAAAGAGAGAAAAAAACTGCTAGAGAGGCACAGAATGGATTAGAGGAAAGAGGAATAAGAAATGGGAGATAATTAAGAAATTATATAATATACCAGAAAAATTATACAGAGGATCTAAATTTGGCATTGATATGGAAGAAAACTTGAGGTGAGTATACGACACTATCTTACACATACACATGCATATCCATATACACGTATGCACAGAACAATTGTTTTTGTCAATGAGTAGGTCACTTAGATGGCAATTTTCCAGAGGAGAAAGAGTTTCACAAACACATTTCTTTAAAAATAGCCTTTGGCATCATTTTGCATAACACTTCTTTTTGAAAGATTCCTTTCAGTTCAATTAATTAGTATGATTTATCCAAGATTACGTTTACAAGCTGTAAAGTATTCCCATCTTCCCATTGTTAATTATATCTCCAGGCTAATATAAATAAATTTTTCTAGTTACCCTAACCCACTCTATGAAACTTATCAGAGAGATGACATTTAGAAATTCTAATCTGGGGGAGGGAAGGTCTCCTTTGTAATGTGGCATGTTCTTTTCCCCGTTAAAAAGTTTTGTTTCTATTTTCTTTTTTGTTTTCTATGTAGTTGGAAGCTACAGTCAAAGAATTTATGAACAAATAACTAAGCTAGAGATGAAAATTTCATTAAGAAATGAAATGTCTTAAATGGGTTTATTTTAAAAGCAAAATCAGCTCCTATACAGAAAAGGAGTTTGTTAAAATCCCAGGAATCATACTAATTCTGTTTGGTGCATCTTATAGAAAAACAGTGAGATGTAGAGACAAGATTTATTTTGATCAATTTAAAAAGTGAGAAAAGTGTTTCATGCTATTTCTATTGCTTATTAATTCCACATCTTCAAAGTCAAGATTGCTAATGTATCTTCTACGAATTGTAAATGACATAAAATAAGATTTGCTTTTAAATATTGATGTGTACCTATGTATTCTCACCACTGAAACTTCAATGTACAAGCCAAGGAACCATTTTACATTTCCAGAAAACTCACTAAGAGGTAATGATTTAATCAAAATTCATGTATTCTGGGAGCCCTCTAAAGTAATTTTAATGCTGATTTGTGCAAGAGGCATATCAGGAGACATATTCATTGAATGACATTTATCTATTTACAAGAAAATAACAAATAGCCTTATCATTGTCATCACCAGTACTATCACCTGAGAGTAGCATTAAAATAGTTTTCTGTAAAAATGATTGGAAGACAGCATGGTACTTAAGGTTGCATCTTGATGTTCCTTTAGGAAAAGTCTTACAAATAGACACATAAAATTATATTCTTTATATTTAACTGGTATATGAGGATACACAGTCTGCCACAACCAAATGGCAACTGTTTTGTAAAACATGGAAACTAGATTAAGCAAAGTTTGGCAGAAAAAGTTCTTTTGCAACATGAAAAATATTTTCACACCAAAAAAATCCCTCCCAACTACCACATGTAGTCATACATCTGTCAGGATCATATTCAGGATGAAAAAATTGCCATAATAAAATCTTAACAGATATTCAGGCTTGTTATTGTCCTTGAAAATAAATTTATGTCATTTTCTGTGAGGCAGGAACAAATGCAGTTAGTAACTTCTCTATAGACATATACACATATCCTTATGAAAAGCACAGGTAAGGTTGCTTTATGTATATATATTTATTCAGACTTTATGTAAAGTTATTTATATAACCCACAATGGCATTATTAGTTTTTAAATATGATTTGGCTTGCAGAAATACAGTGTTTGCAAATGTATGATGGTATGAATACATGTTTATTGCTTCAGGTTTACTGTAATTCTATGGGAAATGAAACTAGTAAAATGAAGAACAAATATTTCTCCATCTACAGTGGCATGATTGTTAAAACCCTCTTCAACATATGATTTTACTCTGCATTGGTTGTGTGTTTTTTCTACAGTCAATATTTTGGAAAGGAACCCTAAAGACAGCAGGTAAGTTGTACTTTATTGCTAGGGTGCAACAACTTAATTCAATGGATTACTGTAGGCTGACCTTGTCTTCTACATTGTGATGCACATATCTACTGACATGAATAGTCTCAAGAAGACAAAGCTCAGAACCAACAAGCTCTACTCTTTCTTTAAATCCACATTCAAATCCAGCGTCTGCTGCAAAATCCAAAACTTCAAGCATGACATCTTCTATTCCATCATCCTGTAGCTTTAGCTTAAAAGTCGTAGCATTGACAACATAAAGCACGTATTCTATTTTGTAACCAGGAGAATTTGTCAGGAATATTCTTGTAATATAGCAGAATGCTATGTTTTGTATGAAATACTTTTATCATTTTGATGACGTGCTACAAATCAGGACCTATTTGAACATTAAGACACAGAACTTTGTCTTATAGACCAGTTAATTCCATCTTCAAACCGTCACTCCTGTGATATAAATTAGGCACTAGCAGATATGCCATGATGTAATGTGAATGTTGTGTTTTATTGTCATGCTTATACTGCAATACTTAAAGGATTTTAAGGAGAAAAACCCTAAGTTGCTAAGATACAAGGGAGCATGCCTGAAGGACAATGTTTGAATATGTATATATTTTAAAGTAAAAAGCAGCAATGGGCTTAAAGAGATGTACGCAGAGGAAAAAAAATGAGACCTGTAACTGTTCACTAAAATTCCAGTCCTCGAGACATAATCATATGAAATTAAGTACTATTTAATTATAAAATAATATGAAGGTTCTTTCAAAAACTAAGGGAGAATTGTCATATATTGGAAATAAAAACCATTCTTTTGAACAAGATAATCATTAGTAACTAAAAATAAAACAATAAACCTGAAAACCAAAGAATCACCATCATCACAGGTTTAGCCAGTAGCATCCTTAATTAACAATTCGTATTTCAAAACTAGCCTTTCTGTAGAAACAACTGCTTCTGTGGGTTATGACAGTTCAGCTGACTCAGAATTAACATAAGGACTCTCAGTGTTAGGCTTTAGATATCAAACAGTAACTGGAAGCGATGATGAGTATCGGTCCATACTCAGAGAGGTACTTACGGTCATTGCAGAGTGGCCCACTGAAGGAAGTCATACTACAGTCACAGCTGAAGCCATCCCACTGTTGCAAGCACACGCCTTGATTGGAACATGAGTCCTCTTGGCAGGTTGTGCTGGGACCTGCAAAACAATCCAAAGGAAACTAGGGATTTATCGAAAAATCCAGAAGTGTTTTATACATGAGCTAGATCACATATAGTAGTTGCCAACACCTCAGATGATATGTCCAAACTAGTTTTGAAAGTTCTAGTTCACACACCTGAATTAGGAACTGAGAGGCTGTAATATGAAGGTTTTCTTAAGTTTCAAGTGGAGGATAAAATACATTATAATCATAAACTAAACCAACAAATAGCAAAAGCAAGCACATAGCTTCTAGTATGATTATCGTAGCAGGTAATCTCATTCCATCTTCAATAATTCTTTGTCGCCATTTGGATTTTAGAAAATGAATGGATCTCCTTAACTCCTGACCAATGAATAGAGACAATGAGAAATGGAGATTGTAACTTCATGAAATTGAGATACGATTGGCAAAATAACTGAAGAGAGTTATGCAAAAAATGCCCTAGGGGTTTCAGAAAGATAAAGTTATGATTGCTGGGTGTTTTGGATAGGTATGTTGGCAAGTATCAATTCACATGCTTTAACAATTTCATGCAATTAAACATAAAATTAAAAACTCCATATAAATGACATGCCCCCATTTAACATACAAGTAAAAAGAATGCTAGTCTATTTCTAAAGAATCTTAACTAGAACACTGAAAAACAAAAATCTAAAAAAAAAAAAAAAAGCATGATCAAAGCACTAAAGGCAATCACTATACAAACATATTCAAGACTGAAAGCCTTTATACAAACTATACTACAAAATTAGGCTTTTTGCACAATGTTGAAGAAAGGAAAAAATGAAATCTGTACCCAAATAACAGTTACAGCAAAAATGTAAAATATGTTGTTTTAGGGTTTCCACTGTGTATTACGGGGTTTCAGTCTTGTTTTGTACACACAGGGCTATCTACCTTGCAAGTCAGCTTTCATCAATGCAACTTTGTCAGCAAAATAAAAAAAAAGCAAAATATATTAAATGTTAGTAAGCAATACTGAAATGGGGCAAACACAGAAGAACGTTCAGATTCAAAAGGCATGCTGCTGTAAAGGGGGAGAAAAATGCTATGTAGAGCAAACAAATTAATACTAACAGCCATAAATCTTAAGAGAAGCCAAAAATGAGAAAGCGGTAATTTATTAGAATTTAATTGTACATATGTAAATATATATAATGGTTAATTGAGCCGATGATATGTAATGAAGGAAAATTAAAGGAGCCTTTATATGTTTCCTCTCTTGGATAGATATGAATGCATTACCAAAGTGACTGTGTTGCTTATTTGGAACATGCAGCACCATTCATCATGTGCAGATATGGTATAGACTATGATCACTAGCAGGGCAATTATCCCTTTCTATGTTTTTCCCTCTAGATCTTTTATCTTGCCATTGCAATTAAGGCTTCAAACTGTAATGCCAGCCATTCACTGACAACAGCTGGACTTTAGAGTGACACCAAACACCAAGCCAAATACTACATAAATGATACTGCATATCGCTGAAAGTGGATGAAGGAAGTAGTAAGGATGGAAGAAACAAACTGCAATATAATCCCTCATAAAGGAATTTTCTTTATAAAATTTCCACTTGTAGTGTTTATCCTTGAACTTGTAGATTGGGTTTATATCACTTACAAATTTCAGAGTTACATCTGTATTTTCTATACTTTTACAATTGTCTTCAACTCATAAACTTCCCTGTGAATAACTGGTTACAGTAAAATCTCACTAATAAGAACTATCTTAGAGAGGGGTGAAAAGGGAATATAGTCTATCTAAATAGCTTTAGAGTATAAACCAATATATTTTCTAGTAAATAAACATAGAGGTTTTATAAAAATAGAAAAACAGACACCAGCTAAATAGATGCTATTAATGTAAAATCGAGAGCCTCTGAGGTGGCTGCTTTAGTGAATAAGTTAGAATTATCTGTAATCATACTTTATATAAACTGATGATTTTGTAAAATGGCTTCTAAACATGTACCTTACCACTACATTTCTATTGCAAATTTTTTAGGAAAAGAATTCTTCATTGAATATTATTGAATTTAGTCTAACCTACAAGAAGTCACAAATTCAGAAACCATAATATTATAAATCTTAATTTCATAATAATAATAGGTATATTAATAATAAAAACAAAAATAGTATTTTATATAAGTAGTAATAATAAGAAGAAGAACTCCCAAGTCCAGGAAACCTGAAGAGTTGTAACAGTTTTTTTCAACTTAGTTCTTTACAACAAATAACTGAAAACCACTAAACTCAACTTAGTTCTTTGTGTCAAGAACTAAGAACCTCTTAATTCCTCAGTTTTAATTTTTGTTCCAAACTTTGAGAGGTAAATTGTCTATTGATCTTTATCCCATGGCAAGAGGTCAATAATAATTAGCATATTTTAAAAAATTAAATCTCTCAAAGCAATATTCCTTAGCATATTTCTTCCAGTATTAAGCAAAGAAACAGGGTCAAACAAGCCTAGTTTGGGTCAAATGCCATTTGATCCAATAGCTATTTGCTCTCTAACCTGCAGAGCAGAAGAAAAGATCAGCAGCAAGAACTAATGAAGATCCAGATTTTGGTTTTTGTTTTTTCAAATATTATCAGAAATGCAATTGAGAAATAATGCTGAATCCTAAAAATAGTAAAACTGTAATCTTAGAAAAATAATCTGCCCATGTTTTAGAGCAGCAATTCAGAGTACCTGCCAAGCCTCTATGGCAGCATACAGGTGTGCTTTATTTTATTTTCATTATCACAGTAGTCTTTTTATATTCAGGTATTACAGGACAATGCATGCCTGTGCCCAACCAGACACATTCTTCAAAGCACTCACCTTCTAGAACAATATTTAAACATTGACAGGCATTACACAAGATGGAGCCTTACTTTTCTTTTTAGTTATGTAATATTCTTTTTATTTTATCACTGAATAAAATTGGGAAAAAGCTAAAAGGACATTTATATTAAGTTATTAAATTTAATAATATGTTAAAAAAGGGAAATAAAAATGAAGGTAAAACTACAATTTCCAGAAACCAAAGAAACAACAGAAAAAGAGGTTAGGGGTCTTTGCTTTCAAGGAAGGTAAACTTGGGTTTGAATCCACTTTTTAAGTGGGTGATCTTAGAAATGTCATCTTACTTTTCTGAGGTTCAATTTATACATTAAAAAAAGACAATGATACCTAATTTATAGAGTTTTGTTTATTTAATGAGATAGTACATGTAAACATATTGCCACCAATATTTAATCAATGACAGCTGTCATAATTAAACAGAAAACCATTTCTATCAATATAATGGAGCCTAGAGCTGAATATTACAGGTGTACAAAAAGAGCATCTGTGACTATTTCACTGACTTTACGTAGAGGTGTTATCTTGACTTTAGTGGGCCTACTTATTGGTTGATTACTAGTGTCCATTTTCTGTTATATAAACAGAGAAAAGGCATCCAATGTACGGTCTCCAGCATAACAGCCTCAGCATCACTTGGGAACTGGTTAGAAATGGAAATTCTAGGGCTTCAGCTCAGATCTATGGAACTAGAAATCCTGGGGGTTATAATCTAGTGATTTGGATTTTAATGATTCTGCAAGTGATTCTGATACAGGCTAGCATTCAAGAAACATTAATCTAAATAGACTTTGAAAGGTTAAAATCTGAACTCTAGTTGAGGTATATTTTATAAATAAAATGAACTCACTGAAATATGTTAGAAATAAAAGGCAACAAGTGATTATTTAGGCAAGATCAAAAGCTTTTTGCAAATAGGCTTAGAGATAAGTGGGTCTATTGGGTAGGAACAATGGAAAATCCTCACAAGATATTATTAGGTTATACCAAAGGTATGCTAAGTATTCCTATCAATAGGGAAGTTAAGTTATTCCAATGTGGTTTGGACTCAAATTACATGAGCTAACAATCTTTAGAAAGATAATTTATTAAGTATCTATAATTAAATCACTAATCCTAAAAATGTGTGAATCTCATCAACTGTACCTATGACAGGTACATCTAAGATTATTCCTAGGAACTATACAGGTCAGACATAATGATAAATTAAAAGTTGTTCACTTTGATGTTGGAATGAAAGATTCAGGACAGAAAGTAATATTCTAAGAGCAAAGAAAAAAGGCTGTGCCAGGGGTTGAAAATTATTAAAGCTCAGATATATAAAGCATAGATAAGGAAAGAACCAATGCCATAATTGACTGAGTTCAAATGTTCAAATAATAATTCAATAGGTAATTAATCATCTTAAACAAATTCCTTAGTATATTATGTTGATAAACAATAGCAAATATCATTACTGCAAATGCCCTTTGTTAATAGATCTTGCTTCTCTTAATCCATTTGCTTCCGCCCACTCACTCATATTATATACTAGTGATGGGGGTCCTGTGTGTTTGCCTCTTGTTTTCTACCTCACTGGATGTTATTTATCTGCTCTCACCATTTCTTGTAGGTGAGAAGTCACATACCAAGCAACTTAGAAAGGCCTATTTTTAACAAATATTTTTCATAAGAGACTGCAATACCTCTTTCTTTAAAAAAATAAAATAAAGTAAATCTACACATTCTCACTAATTAGATCACCTCCAACAATTATGTTGTCCCACATTCTTGTGTTCATCCACCAATGGGAATTGATCCCCTTAACAATTTTGTGTCTCTTACTTAAAATTAGCTAAAAGGGAAAAAACATAATTTCCTTATGCCTTACAGATGCTTTATGCCAAAATATAAAGAAATATACTAATAACATTAAAAATGAACTCAACTCCACTTTCCATTAATAACCTTATCCTCTGATATTATTACAAGGCAGTTTGAATTTCACCTAACATTTCATGAAAACATATGCTTCATAGAGGGAAAAAGGAAAACTTATTTTCAAATACAAAATTTCTATGTACTTAGGTAATTGCTAAATATAATGGCATCATTTTGGCTGAGAATAAATGATTCATAATCACCTGGGGGACAAGAATTCAATTTTTTTTCTTCTTCTTCTCCCATATAAAATCTCCTCATAAATCTAAAATTTTCAAAAGGACCCAAACTGTGTTCAATATTACAGGAGAAACAGCAACATTTCCAGAGCCACAAAATTCATGATAATGTGATAAAATTACTTTTATGGAGGAAAAATTTGCTCAAACAAACTGAGGTGTTGAAGTGAAAATTATCTAAAATGAAAGTAGCAATCAAAAAGTACTCCTACAGATCTTGGTCTGATACAGAGCAGAAAAGAGCAGAAGATAGTTCAGTGCACTTCTGATGTATGGAATATTAGCCTAGGGTAAGACAAGAAACCTGTTTTTGCTAAAACAAACTGAAAGTATACAGGATATACTGTTTCTGCCAGGTACAAATCATTGAATAGTCCTTTCGGAATGAGGTATCTGAACTTTGTCCTCTTGTTATATACTATTGGGATATAGATTTTTATTTTAAAATATTTGTTTATTTCAGTAGCTTTAGGAGTACAAGTGGTTTTTGGTTACATGGAGGAATTGTATAGTTGTGAAGTCTAGAATTTCAGTGCATCTGTCACTCAAGTCTTGTACATTGTACCCAATAGGAGTTTTTCATCACTCAATTCCTTTCCCACTCTCCCAGCTTCTGAGTCTCCAATGTCCATTATGCCATGCTATATGCCTTTGTGTACCCACAGCGTAGCTCCCACTTGTAAATGAGTAACATGAAGCATTTGGTTTTCTAGTCCTGAGTCACTTCACTTAGAATATTGGCCTCTAGTTCCATCCAAGTTGCTACAAAATAAATTATTTGTTCTTTTTACGGCTGAGTAGTATTCCATGGTATACACATATCACATTTTCTTTATCCACTCATTGGCTGATGGGCACTTAGGTAGATTCCATAGCTCTGTAATTGTGCATTGTGTAGTGATAAACATATATTTGCAGGTGTGTTTCTGACACAGTGACTTCTTTCATTACCCTTAGCAAACTAACGCAGGAACAGAAAATCAAATACTGCCTATTCTCAGTGATAAGTGGGAGCTAAATGATGAGAACAGATGAACACATAGAAGGGATCAACAGGTACTGGGGAATACTGGAAGGTGGAGAATGAGAGGAGGGAGAGGATCAGAAAAAATAACTAATCAGTACAAGGCTTAGTACTGGAGTGGGAAAATTATCTGTACAATGAACCCCCATGACAAAAGTTCAACTACAAAACAAACCTGAACCTGTATTCCCTGAACTTAAAACAAAAGAGAAGGTAGATATTAACAAATGAGCACAAGTTGATTAATACTTGCTGGAGTAATATTTGTTTCATGCTATAAAGCAAGCATTGTAGAACCGATTAACAAACTAATCAAGTGTACTATATAACTCAAAAATTTAAGTTTTATGAGATAAATTGAAAACATGAATAAGGATTTCTAAGCCCAAAGAGGGTATCTGACCAGTTACCAGAATTTACTGGACAGTGAGATTTGTTCTCAGTTATAGGTGGAATTAAAATTATTTAGGGTGTGATGACAAAAATCTAGTACCTTCACATCCTCTCTCGATCTGTCCATTGCAGAAAAGAGCATCTGAGATGAGATCCGGAAGCCGTCCATTTAAATCAACGGATGCCAGGCAGCCTTGAAAGCCTTCTTTGGCATGTACAAGTTTTGGCAAGGATTTATAAGTTTCTTTAGCTACTCCTCCTATATATAAATCACCTGTGAGAAGATCAAAGTCTTTGTTACAAAAGTACCATGACATTGACTTTAAACACACAGCAGGATGGAGAAAAAACAGGGAGGTTTAATTTTCATTAACTTAATAAAAAAGTAAATTTATGACTAGCTGCTTTTTTCCAATGTGCTAAACAATAGAAGTGTTTGAATAATATCCTGGCACTAGGAAACATTTCTAAAAACTATTTCCATAGAGAACTAAAATAATTCCATGTAATGTGGCCAAATGGAAGGAATGTGGGCTGGCTATAGAGATGTATACATCTGAGTTGAAATCCAGGCCTCGTAACTTAAAAACCTTGAAAAATAATATATGTATACATTCTAGAGTCCCTGATTATTAGTATCATTGTTTCTAAAATGGAACAATCAAAACCTATCCCATAGGGTTTCATGAGGATTAAATGAGACGAAATATATGAAGCATCCATCAGAGCAGAAGTATACAATGCATACACAGTCAATAGGCATTATTATCAAATTTACCTTCTGCTGAGAGATCGCTGTGCCTTTCACTTCAGCAGAAGTTCAACAAGAAGTTTCTTCTTGTGTCTAAAGCCACCTTCTATACTAGACTAAAACCCATTGTCCTTGTTTGCACCTCTCTTGTTTAGTAACACATATAATAGTCTGTATATAATTGAATATTACATCCTTCTTCAGGTGTTTACTTTTTTAGATAAAATCATACTACTTTCAATTTTTAGGTTATTCTGAAATTCGTTAACAAGTTTTCAACTTATTTTTCTAATTTTATTGCAGTTTCTAATGGAAAACATTGCTCAGCTTTGTGAAGTTTTTGTCTCTAGGTTTGGGATTTCCCAACTTTATGGACAATTACCAAAAAAAAAAAAAAAAGAGAGATTTCAATTGATGTTTGAGTCTTTCTTTTTCTATTTCAGATTATTCACCATATCTAGACAACATTCAATAAATATAATTAACTGACTTTAGTAAACATTTAATCAATGTGGAATATAAGGAAAGTGTCCTCAAAATTCAGTAATATACTCCTACAGCTCCCGTCTGCAAGTTCTGTAACATACACTTTTTAGCTACTTCTCCAACTTACATTTTCATTTGAACTTTCTTTCTCATGTTAACCATTCTATTCAACGTCATGTCACCTGGTGCATTTTCCCCAGTATAACACAAACATCCTGCAATCTTAATGTTTACCTGGGCCCTCTGTGTTGTCTTAATGGGACTTGGGAACAAGGAGAACTGATATACAGACTGTGGTATCCCACCCAGAAATATTCTGTCTTGGCCTCCCAACTTTCTTTCTCATGGTAACTATTACATTTAACGTCATGTCACTTAGTGCATTTTTCCCAGTATAACACAAAAATCCTGCAATCTTAATATTCACCTGGGCCTTTCTGTGTTGTACTCATGGGACTTGGGAACAAGGAGGACTGATACACAGACTTGGTCTGTAACCCCAAAATATACTGTCTTCTGCAGGCACCCATTAAACAGTAATAAGCTAACATAATCGTTTGTAAGTAGGGTAAAAACAAACCACAGATATGACACTCTTGAAATGTATTGATGAGGCCGGGCGCGGTGGCTCAAGCCTGTAATCCCAGCACTGTGGGAGGCCGAGGCGGGTGGATCACGAGGTCAAGAGATCGAGACCATCCTGGTCAACATGGTGAAACCCC